CATATTTACTGAGAAAAAATGGTGACGTGTTCAATACTTATTTTACCAGCTGTATGTAAGCATGTATCATTTTGGAGAAATCTACATCAATGTAAACGCTGAGTATAAAACACCTCCACTGCCGGTGAGGGTGTGCGCACTCCGAAGCGTGACTATAACTCAGCCTTAAACACTTGCTGGTACAAAGYTCTGCCTATTTGTACAYAGCTCCTTCCTGGAACTCAGTCCCCAGCTGAGCTTCCCTCSCCCGAAGCATTGTTGTGAAAATATGCTGAAGTGGGAGTGTCTGAAAYAGYAGGAGGTTTTTAAAGAGACAGGGGCCAATTTCAATGCATTTTAGATTAGGCTATAATGCAATGATTTGATCCTTCTTGCTGAGAGGCACTAGCTGAGCCACTGTGTGCCGTCATTCCAATAGAAATGAACTCATAATTACTGGTTTTCATTTATGGCATACAGATTTTTATTTTTATTTTTTTGTAAATATGTCGTTTATCTTTCATTTCTAATAATTCTACAAAGGCATTTTAGTGCAGACAATTCACCCATAGCCTATTGTGCACTGCAGACTATAGTGTAGACCATTGGTCCCAACCTTTTCAGACTTGTGTACCCCCTGAGCCATTTTTCCACACTACTAGTACCCCCTCAGTCAAACGTAATGTTGATTCTCCAAAATTATTTATTTAACCCCCTCAACTCAAGCAAAGATAAATATTTTGCCTGAAAGGTGAATAAGAAATTAAATAAATAAACAAGGTTTTTGCAGGTACAGGAAGCGAAAGCGTCCAAAATACATCAGAAACTCACACAAATGAGCAAATTCCGTGAGATTCCGGAACATTATACCAAAATTTCTCATCATTTTTGAGAATATGAGAGACCAGCTGGAGAGCAGACTCAGAAAATTGATCAGCTGTGTTTACTTTTTGTTCTTGAGTGGTCACTCCTGTCAATTATAAAACCTTTCTTTAAAACATGGGAGGAAACATTCAATCTTTCAGTGGCAGGTGATGAACTTACAGTATATGTCCTTAAAAACCTTGACCTGTGTGTTTCTTACATTCCTGTACGTACGTTGAAAAAAGTCTGGACAGTCTTGCCCAACAGGATTTTTTTTTTTCGTATTTCTGTTGCACAGTAAATACAGTGAGYCTGCCAGAAGTTTCATGCAGGCAAATATGGGGCAAACATGCAAATAACACAAAAGTCCTCTCATCTAGAAGCTACTGTGGACAGCAGGTTTATATTTGCATGCAGAACATCAATAACATCATGATGCCAGCTTAGGTTAAAAAAATGCAGCAGAAGTTCAAATATCTGTTTGTTTTCTGCATATATAAATTCTGGGGGAAATTTTGTTTTCTCAGCTAACAGCCCCCATTTTCAGGCTTTGTGCTGAACAAAAGGCAAATGTAAGAAAGTTCTCGAAACGCTCAAAATGGAAAAGGCAGCAGTTCCCATCTGCACGGCTTCAATAAGAAATTTATCTGAAGCACTTTTATATTTGTTGTTGGAAAACAAATAAAGCCTGCAGGTTTCCTTAAACTGCCCTTTGAGAGTCGGCCTGCAGAGCCTCTGTTGTAGGAAGCTGTGAAACGTCCACATTCTTTCAGTCGCCACACACACACAAACACGGACAATTTAATGATTTTGCCAGTGTTTTGTTTCAGCTTCACCTAAGAGAGAGTCATCCAGAATGCAGGACTTCCTGTTTGCGACACACTTTTCCTGCTGTGGATGAGCTCCCGACAGCTCGTCCTCAATAAAAGCCTTTCTTGCTACAGATTTTTTTTTCTTTTTCTTACGATGTATCAGTCTTCATGGATACTAAGTGAAATATTTAGATCATTATATTCAGTCTGTTATAAAATATGCATTTAGTGGTGCGAAGAATTTTCAGCAACAATGCTAATGGGGTCTGAGAATTTATAACTAGAGAAAGTTTGTTTTTTTTCCTCCCATCTTTGAAGCCAGATATGTGACAATTAAAAAAAAGCTCATCCTAATATCTCATTCCTCTCTTCCTATTTCCACAGGACCTCGTTCGAATGCTACAAAAGAAAAAAGAAAAGAACAACACTGGCTCATATTTCAGCTTGCTGTCAGCCCTGAGGACTCATCCCGTCACTCAACCTTGCCACCTAGTGGAGCTCTGATGGTTCCTCTCCCCTCTGGTCAACAAAAAGTCCTACAGACAGCTGCYTCCCTCATCTGGGGAGATGCCTGCCCTGCAACTCCTCTGTGTCCTGTTCAGCTTTACATGCTGAAAAAAATACAATAAAACCAGACGCTATAGAAAGGCTTGGTTCCTTTAGCTCTCATAGAGTTAAAGTGACACATTAGTTTGGTTTAGAGTTATAGTGCCCATAAACCTATAAAGTTATATTTAAGAACCAAACTACAAAACTCTCACCAAGAGAAGTGGAACGGAAGAAGTTATTTCAGATGGAATCATCAACGACCGCACTACCAGCAACAACACAAAATGGTAAGAGTGACCTAACCTAACCCAAATATTTATTA